GTTCTAGAAACTATAACTTTCACTCCATGGGATGTGACTGTTGCGATTCGGCGTTTTCGTCAATCTTATAGTCCAGGCCCTGATGGTGTCCCAGTAAGCATTTTAAAAGCCGATGCAAACACGATCTTCCCATCCCTCTTATGCAAGATATTTAATCTTGCTCTTGAAAGTGAAACTTATCCTACCTTATGGAAGGAATCACACATTTTGCCCATTCCTAAGCACGGCAAGTCTACATCATTTGATGACTTTCGGCCAATAAACACCCTCCCTGCAGTTTCGAAAATCTTAGAGACATTGATCAAGGATAAGATGATGTGTCACTTAACGGCGAACAACTTACTGAGTGTTGCTCAGCATGGATTCCTCAAAGCTCGATCTTGTGACACCTGTCAACTCTCTTTCTTTGACTATGTTCTCCAATCTAGGGACCATGGTTTTGCTCTTTACACAGTATATTTCGATTTCACTAAGGCTTTTGACCGTGTTGACCATGCTCTTCTCCTCTTGAAATTGTCCTCTTTCGGAATAGGTGGCAAACTTTTGAATTTTATATCCTCTTACCTGGGCACTCGCACACAACGAGTTAAGATTTCCAATACCATCTCCAACCTCACACGTGTGAGGAGTGGAGTCATTCAGGGTAGTGTACTCGGCCCGCTTTTATTTTGCCTTTTCGTTAATGATGTACCCGATTTATTTCAGAATGGTAAGCCTTTCATGTATGCCGATGATCTTAAAGTTGCATATCGATATAGGCCGGCAGATCATGACATCGTGCTTGAGCTCCTAAAGAGCGATCTACAGGCTTTCGCCCAGTGGTGCCGCACATGGCGCCTTTCGATTTCTTGGCATATGTGTTCAGTCATGGTGGTTGGCGACGACCGCCAACCTCAACTAAGTATTGAAGGTCACGCAATAAATGTGCCAGGGGTTATAAGGGATTTGGGCGTATCATACTCCAAGAGTCTTAATCTCTCGGAGCACTGTGCCTTGATAGTCTCCAAAGCACGTAGAACGACCGGGTTTATCCTCCGAAATTTTATAACTAGGGACATTAGAATGCGCCTTTTCAACATGTACGTTAGACCTGGTCTGGAATACTGTTCGTTTTCATTTAGCCTCATGCGTGCTACTGAGCGGAAGAAAATAGAATCCGTTCAACACTTTTTTACTAAGAAAATTTTAACCCCAGAACACCGACATTTGTCTTACCAAGAACGTTGCCGGCTTACAGGCCTCGATCCTTTATGGTTCCGTAGATTACAAAAGGGACTATTTTTGCTATTTAAACTCTTATATAATCACACATTTAACCCGCTCACCTCTTTAAGACATCATATCCACCCACGACGTAACAGTCACCGTGAGGTCTTCTTATTTCTGCCTCTGGCACGTACTGTTAAATATCGTCGGTTCTTTTCTGTAAATGCAAATGTTATTTGGAATAAACTACCCATGAAAACTCTGCAAAATTATTCTTTATTTAAGAGAACTATTATTCGATTTTTGCATTCAGAAATTCTTCCACAAATTTTGGGTGCTGAATCTACTGATCGACTGTACCGTACCGATGGCGTTTGTGGTCTCTGAACACTATGGCCGGTCTCACCAGCTGTTCCTCCACGCCTCTACTTTGGCTATCCCCAACTTCATGAAAGGAATTTGACGTCCGATAATCTCCGATACCGTGCAACCTCTCCCCTTCTTGACGGTCGATATTCTACCACCGCCGACAGTTTTTTTTCTCCTGAGCCCTCCAAACCACAAAAACCACCATCAACTATATTTTTATGCCATAAGCTCAGGAGTTTTTTTTACTGCTGGTCGTATTTGTGTTTAATCGCTTTCCTTGACAATGCCTGTAAACTGGCATTAAATTAAAATTTATTTATTTATATTTATTTATATAAAGCGTCCCTCCATTCCGACTTCTTTCAGTCCGTCTTCACCCGAGAACCTAGTGCTATATTTGCCCATCCATCCATTCGCCAACCAACCTCTCCTCCCAGTATCCTTACCCATCCTATCCCCTCCCTACCCTCCTTAACCGAGGAACCACTCTTTTCATCTACCATAGTTAGGGCCGAGCTACTCCGGCTGAAACCTGCCAAATCGCCTGGCCCAGATAGAATTCCCGCCCTAGCACTTCGCGAACTTGCTAATGAACTGTGTAAACCCTTATCCGCAATATTTCAAAAGTCATTTGAAGACGGCGAGCTACCGGAAGAATGGAAGTGCGCACTCATTACTCCTATCCATAAAGGAGGCTCAAGACTTGACTGCGGAAATTATCGTCCTGTCAGTCTTACTTGCATCGCGTGTAAAATAATGGAACGCATTATCAAAAGACACTTGATGAAATACCTGGAACAGAACAAAATATTGTGCGATGCCCAAAACGGCTTTCGTCCAGGGCGCTACTGCCTAACGAGTGTTCTTTACTCGCACGAGAAATGGACACGAGCTACCGATAAGGGTTTCCCAGTAGATGTCATATTTTTGACTTCAAGAAGGCCTTTGACAGTGTCCCACACAGGCTTCTTTTACAAAAGATCTGGGATGTAGGGATTAAAGGGAGAATGTTTAAGTGGATCAGGAGTTTTCTGTCCTCCAGACTACAAAGAGTCGTTGTTAGTAATTCTACCTCGGAATGGGTAAAGGTGGAAAGTGGTGTCCCGCAGGGTTCTGTCTTAGGTCGAGTACTCTTCCTGATTTATGTTAATGACTGTATCAGCGAAGTGAATTTCGAGGCTCTCATTTTCGCGGATGACATAAAAATATGGAGTGAAGTCAAGTGTGATGATGACGCAGAGAAGTTGCAATCGAACATATGCAAACTGTGTGCTTGGTCGAACAGATGGCTTTTGAAGTTTAACGTGTCCAAATGCGTGGTTTTGCACCTGAACACCGGCCGCAATGCCTCTCCGAAACACCAGTACTATATTGACGGGACGAGGTTAGAAACTGTGGAAAGACACAGAGATCTGGGTGTATGGACGACCACAAATCTATCGCCATCAGAACACTGTAGAAAGATGGTCCAGAAGGCAACTAGTACTCTACACTGGATCAGACGTGCATTTAAAATATTTCCTCCCGAACTTTCGAAAGACTCTTTGGTGTCTTTGTAAGACCTCATCTAGAGTATGGAATGCCAGCAGCTTCACCATGGATGAGGAAGGATATCAACTTACTCGAACATGTGCAACGCAGAGCGACAAAGATGGTCGACTGTCAAAAGCATCTGTTTTATCAGGAGAGACTGCATTTACTTGGCCTATTCCTTCTCTCTTATAGACAAATAAACTGCAGTCTACTCTGGATGTTCCGGATTGTTCGCGGCCAGGGTTGCTCATTAAGAGCAGAGGGTTTTTTTGAGTTCGCCCGTACAAACCAACTACGCGGCCATGCATACAGAGTCGGGAATGAACGCACGCGTTTAGACCGACGAAAATTTTCATTCAGCCAGCGGGTTGTCAGGCCGTGGAACTCGCTTCCAAGCGAGATGGTGACGGCTGACACAGTTTGTGTGTTTAAAAGAAAACTTGCTCGTCTAGTTTTCGACAGAAATCGGCTTGTACTGTAACGCCCCTGGACTTGGACAGAGTTGTTTGAATGAGGTGACACTTTTTGCGCGAGGACCTAGGGTGGAGATGGCGTAGTCGCGTGTCGGTGAAGATAACCGGTGTCCCTCCCTCTCTCTTCTGCCGATCCCTTTCCCCCTAGTCGTACCGTAACGCAACGTATCGTCCGATCCGCTCGCCTCATCGCTACATCGGCACTCCCTCGACCCTTCCCTGCAGTTGCCCCCAGCGCTGCGCTCCCCACCGGTTTACTAGCTGGCATGTTCGCATCGTCTCTCCACCCAGACAGGTCATTCTACCGATGTAACCGTCCTACTTGTACTATTAACGATTATTATACGATTCCCCGTGCAAGCTCGTATTATTACACCTTATCTCTTATTCGACATGCCTTCTTCTTCTGTGTATGGATGTGTATCAAGAAATGCTAACAGCTCCGTTCAGGTCTATCCAGGCCAAGCGTCCTTCTCGGCGTTCCCTTACTCCGGTGTGTGCTACCCTTGACGTCATCGGCCGCTACAGTACAGCATAACTATGCACAGACAGCTTTGTAAAATCTGTCATATACAATCTTCCGCACTAATTTACAGTGACCCCATGCACTACCTTATGATTACGACTGAACTGTGACCCAATCACATTTTAAATGCCTGCAATTTTATTTTATTTTTGAGTATGAATCTGCGAAAGCACTGTACATAAATAGGGTCATCTAGGGCTCTGCCTGTAACCCTTCAATATACATACATACATACATACCCAGCTGAGAAGCACGCAGGACATGTCGTCAGAGTCGACAGCTGACATGTCACTCACGGCACACCAACTTATGCATGTACACGTCTGTTGGTGTTATTATAATTTGAAATATTCCATCAGGTTGTACAATTCCGACGTCTCCACAGTAAGTGTTTGGTGCTCTCCTTTCCGAATTTTGTGGTGTATTTCTGTTGATAGTATCCATTAGGGAGTTCAAGTGAACACAAATGAATTTCGCTTAAATAAACTAAACTGTGCCATACTACTGCACAGCTTCGGAGAATTATCCATGAATTGCGAGAAAACATGTTGTTTGCGGCAGTTAGCCAAGAATACCAGTCATGGCATGTCCCCTTCTGTGAACTATTTGAATTGAGGAATGGACGGCTAGTGGCAGGTATTGACAGTCATAAGCTAGATATGGCAGCAGTGTCATTTTTACTAAATAGTCTTTCATTTGTTCGACAGAATTCCCTTTTATTTCTCGAATATTACATCGTTATGTTTCTCTAAATGTTTGATTTCCCGACTCTTAATACGTTGGTTTTTGACTGTATGCAAAGGAGCGTGGTGTCAGGTGTTGACATTACTAGCCAATCATAGGCTTTCACATGGGCTGACGCATTTAGGTTGCCTTTCCTCGGATTTTGCGTAATGTCTGCATTTCCACTTGTGATTAATGGTTTTACTGGTGGGTTTGTAAGTTTTATATCGTTTGTTTTGTCCTATTTTTCATCGTCAATTACGTGGAGCTAAGTCTTGCACTACCTATATCCTATAGCTATAGGACTTTAGAGTTTGTTTGTAGTTCCTCTCACTGCAGTCTTTTGTTGTCGGTCCTATTAGCAATCAGCTGTATTACATGGACAAACTGTGCCTATTCCCTGGTGCAATTGCCGCAATCCATGTATTAATACATGGATTCTGCTCGGCCAGTTTCACGATTATTATTTTTTCCGCGTTTGTCGCTTTGCACCTTATAAAGTTTTCTACAGCCATCGTCAGTATCACTATTGTTGAGGTGTATATCGAATTGCGGGATTCCGCACAACTTGTGATATCTACTGGCATACAATTAAATAGGAGAGCGTTGTCACACATCTGAAATTTTTGAAATACTTTTAGCCATTATCCTCGTGCTTTAAAGCCTACTGAAAGACAAGGAACATTCGGTAATTTACGGAGTCGAAGGCCAATTGTCCCTTTGCTGTATGTGATCAAGTAAGTTTCCCGAGCATACTGTTCTTATCGTGAGTACCTCGGGAAGACGGGTAACCCGTTGCCCTAGTTGCCGGCCGCCCGGCGTGTCCACAGGTGGCAGATAGTAAAACGGCCCTCATAGAAGGTTAGTTGCTAAGTAAGCAGTCTCTCTGGCCAGACGGATAAGCTGTTGCTGACCGATATCGACAGTGCTACCAGGGTGCAAAGGACTCGGGTCTGGCAAACCTTATAAAATGTTGCAAAACCCGATGACCGCACTGCGACATAGCGACCGTGAACCGCCATTAAATAAGTTTGCTTGCTACCGTTGCCTTGTGGTTAGTTTTTAAACCGAATAGTTAGATGGGACAACCTCGACAAAACAGTCCGAGCTGTTGTTTGGGGTCCGTCTGTACTCATAATTCCCAACAAACCTCGTGAAAATATGTTTGAATACAGTATTACGATCCATGGTCTGACGCCATCGCGAGCGGTCGCGCTCCGCAACCCTGACCCAGTCTTATGGGCGAATAGTGTGCGATCTAGACTATTCAATCTGGAACAGACCTTGGATGTTAGATGCGGAAATGTTCAAACGTTTCTAGACCCAGGTACGCAAAGTCTGACGACGCACAGTCTTCATTAATACAATGTGGATGTCTGTTGTCTGTCCAAAGTCCGGATTTCCGACTCTGGGGCTCGGGAAATGAAGATCTCAGGAGTCGACCCACACTTCACCCTGTAATCAGCAGTCCACGCGACTCCTCTGGTAGACACGGTGTGGCGATTGCCCTCTCTCAGCAAGCGAACTGTGCACTACCTGCCTGTGGATCAGTCAGTGAATGGATGGCCTATGGGCGACTATGGGTCACTTTGCGAAGATCACCGTCGTCTTCGTGTATGCATCAGCATTACTTACCAAACAGCGCGATAGAGATATTTATTAATCGATAACTGGCGTGGAAACTTCCAACGTTATTTATGCAGACTTTTGTCCTTGATCTGCGAGAGTAGGTTTGAATAATGCGAAGTACTGGATGCGATGACGTCGACTAGCAAGAACTCGGTGTACCGATTCAAGTTTTGGAGCAAAATCCACGAAACGGACTGGTACACTGCTAGCAGCGGGGACGGTATTGTGGGGTTTGATGAAGGGAAAAGTGCTAATCAGCACTCACTCCGGTCGAAACCCGAAACGATTCGTTCTTGTCTAAACGTCACGACAGGAGGTGAGGTGATGGAGAGGGATAATTGCCAAGGGTTTTGCGGAAACGTCAAGATGACTTTCGCCACAGTGATTCTCACAGGTGTCTGTGTCTTTTTTAAAGATCAGATCAACTACAGTGTCCATCTAGTCTGTGGCAACGGTTTCTGTCTTCAAAATCTGGTTCAAATCATGCAGTTATTTAACTTCAGCTATTGAGCAGCACTTACAGCATTGACAGCTTTACGCTTGAAGGCAGTCCCCACAATGTGTTTTGTTGTTTTTGACTTCCGCTGTGGACTCAAGGAGCTCGGTGTTTGGTAAGTTTCTGCCATAGTTATACTTGGTCATCGGGGCCTCATTGACCTGCGTGGTTGCTAAATGGGCCGACCCTGTCGAGCTGAGAAACCGGATGAAGTGCCTCTTGCATTGTCACGTCTGCCTTTGATGCTTTCAGCCAATTCAGTTGGAGCAGATTATCTGGTTCAGGTAGTTGGAGGAAACGCGGTCGCTGGAACCAGCATTCTATTCGCCTGACAAAAAATACTCACTCTATTTCATCATCAGCGACGATGAGTATTGGAGCAGCTTTTATGGCCTAAGCTAAAGAGCGACTAGGAGCAGTCTCCTATCCGTCCATTTGGACAGAATCCTTAGAACTCATCCGGCTGGCGTGTGCGTAATGCAGCCTCTTTGTCTCAATACGATAATTGGCCTTCGTTCACTTACCTATTAGGGCAGCTCGTCTAATTTTTCCCCCAGTTTGCTAATCCACTTTATTTTATTACTAGTACTCTTCATCCAATATAGACCCACCTTTGGGGCATTTCTATTTGTAAGATGCGTACTTTAACGGCATTTTTCGATTCACTCAAGTCACCCACTCTTCAGACAATAGTATGCTGATTCCCACCAAATACTCCGATTTCCAATAAAGTTCTTGACTTCTGTCCAGCTAATCAGCTTCTGAGCTCTAATCAGCATGGGTTTTACCTGAAAAAATTCCGCGAAACTTGCCACTTAGCCATTCTTAATTTAATCACTTCCCTTCGTAGTGAACAGCAGTCAATAGTAATCTGCTTTGCTTTTAGTAAAACCTTCGACAAGGGACTCCATAGACGGCTTTTGGTAATATAGGGAGCACACAGCATCCGGCCACTTCTACTCGACTTCACCGTGACCTACCCCTCCAACCGTCATTGAAAAGTCATTGTTAGTAATAGCTACTCGACACCACACTCGCTCACGAGTGGGGTATTTCAGGGCACGGTTCTGGGTCCACTACTCTTCCTTCTTTACATCAACGATATTTCGACCGAACTCAAAAATTGATACCTTTTATTTATGCCGATGACCTCAGGACATGCCAGAAATGGACTCCTTTATTTTAGAAGTATAAGTCAGTCAACAAAGAGTGTATAGATATTTCTTTAATATAAAAGTGAAGCTTTTCACTTCATCCAGATACGACTTTCTGGGAGACCCACCTAAGTACTTATGGGCAGAATGTTATTACCGAAAAAGACTGAAATGGCCATTTCAGGCTTATTGGCCGTCGTAGGCCAGTCATACCCAACCCCGATGTGTGTAACACCTGAGGACCGAACTCGCGACCCTTGCCTTTGTTGATTATTATAACATTCTGCCTATACCACGCGCCGCTGTGCGGCAGCTGGTTAGGCTCGGGAGAAAGCCCGTAAGGCACAACAGAACGAGTGAGTTCCGTAAGAACGATCGGTGAGCGCCCCTCTACCAGTAAGCATTTATTTATTTAAGTATGCACTTATCGATTTTCAGACCAAACCATAATCTATTTCCAAAGTCTTTCTTATTTCATTGTCATGAATTTTTGCCAAAAATTTAATTGCATTTCAGCGATCAGACTGGCGCCCGAAAAGGGAACTGAACATTTTCTATACGTGAGAGAACTTTCACCGCTCAAGGTAAAAGTGGTAAATGTGTCGCCATTCTACACAAAGGTATGCCTATTCTTGATGATACCAAAATTGTAATCCTCAGCCAACAATATTTGCCCTCTTTTCAAAATTTGGTCCAATAAACCACTTCAGATACGACAAGGTATGTTAAACCACCTGCTCAACTGCAAGGAGACCGGTCTTTTTCTAATTGTGTTCGCGTACATGGCCTTCTTTATCTTTAGTCGAGCACAACTGCCATTGTGGGCTACAAAACTCCATCCTCCGTAACGTCCTTGCTGAACACTCCTATGAATTCTGCCTACGCTCTTCCCGTCCGGAAGGCCTCCTTTTCTCGTAAGTTGTTTTTTATAATTTTTCTATACTGATAGATGTCATAATGTCATATGTATATGTTTTTGGAAGTACGATCGCAACATGCAAAGAATATGCAAACGGGTAATTTTAGGCCATTTGCCGTTGTTGACGATGCCGCTCACAGCCGCTGTGCGCTGGATAACGTTTATTACCTGAAGAGGCAGTAGCAGATTAAACATGATTTGGATTATCGCAGGGTAGGGAGCTTGCGCTTCGCCGGTCATGCATTTTCCCTTATATCATGCTAGCATAAGCCCCTGGTTAAATTCCATCTTATCTACTACTTTTCTATTTCTCGTTTTAGTCCCAGTACGTCAATTGTAAGATGAATAAAGTCCCGTTGTAGGGTATTCTTGTTTTGACTCTTGAATCCATATTTGTTCGTCCTCTCCATCTCGTGTGCTCGCTACGGTCCTAGCTACACCTTCCACATCTCTACCGGTGGGAAGCCTGAGTCAAGCTGGCTGGAGATAAGATAGGGCCACCCACTTTCGTGCCATACGATTGCCATGACCCGATATCCCCTACTTCGAATACCACTTCTGTTACAACTGCTCAGAGATGTCAGTAATCGAGAATTGTCCTTAATTCTGGAAACCAAGTTGTTCTATCATTCCATCTTCAAACAAATTGAAGACGTCCAAAATTTCTTTTCTTTAGAAAGCCAATCGAGTTGCATATTTCGAGACAGTTAGATGACAGCACTTATCCTTTCGTCTAAGTTGTCTTCTTCCCACCCTGCACTTCTTATGTTCGCCAAAATGTAGTGTTTATTTAATTGACATATATGACTAGCCATACCTTCCTTGTTGTGTTGCTCCCGCCGAAGTATCTTTATGTGAACATCCAGATGAAAACATCGCCTTCTTGAAACTGATAACAACAATCTGGTATTCATTTTAGGCTTTACTCCCCCTTGTTAAGCTGTGCTGGAGCTCAAGGGCCACGTCGGTCTGTTTCCGAACAAAATTTCTAACCGGAAATAGCTGAAGTTTTTAGGCTAAGGCAGCGGCATCCAAAGACAAGCACTATTGCTCGTAGTAGCATTCTGTCAAACAGGCTTGGTGCCAACCTGGTAGCACTCCCTTGTATCACCTGGCGGGTTCTCCAACGAAGTAAGACTGTCTTTGACTTTGTCGCGTTTGACCGCTGTCTACACGTTCTCGTCGGACTTTATTCCCTTGTACTCATCTAAAATATCCGTGGCTGCTCATTTATAGGCGGGAATTATCGAGATGCTATGACGGTCCGTTTGAATGAAAACATAACGAGACGGACGAGTCATTTCGAGCTAGATAGATTCGACTGTCGTCTTCAAATTAATTGGCCGTAGACATGTGCCCTAGCAGTTAATTCATGCAGACCCCAAAGTTCCGTGCTCCTAGGTAAATGTTTATTTTTATGAGCAAATTTATTTAACATGGCAGGAAGAAGCTTCCTCTGAAAGGCAAGCTACTAATCTGCGAGTTACCACTAGTGCATGTATCCAGTCTGTCCTGGCTATAGGACGAATATGCACTTCTACTTTGCTTCGAGGGTCTAGACCTGGGGCCCACGCAAACAGTGACAGAGCGATAAGCAATTAACGCACGACGTTTGCTAGCGACTGTTGCGTAGAAGGCGGAAACAGCCGTTTCTTTCCTGTCAACCGGCCGTGCCCCGTAACCCACTTCAGTCCTGCTGCCACGGCAAGTCTGTGAACCCTACTCACATGCGATGCTGGGCATCGTTGATCGCAGCCGTCAAGACGTAATAGAGTAGTAGAGCGTGCATTGAAAAACAGCTTGGTGTCCGACTCGCTCCTTCCCGTTCTCAGGTTCCAGTCCGGATTCGGGCTGTGGATGGTCGATGAGGATAAATAAGCCATAACTGGCCATTCCTTGTCTTCGTTTCCGCAAAAGTTTCATGTTTACTTCTAGGACCTAGTAATGTCTCACGCAAACTTCTCACAGCTAGACTTTGTAGTAAAACCACCCAGGCTTGAGTTACGCTTTTTGAATGATGTTACTGAGCCTACCTTTTGCCTTTTCAGATGTTGTAGCTGAAAGTAAAAAATCCTGGCTCAAGGATCCTGTCTCACTGAAAAAGCAATCGGAACAATATCTCCAGGATTACTTTAGGGAGAAGCTTTGCGAAGACGAAAGTTCCGAGGAGGACGACGAGGGTTGGATGTCAACAAAAACAAAGAAGCGGCGTATTCGATAAACTGCCCACTTCTTTCTACCGTTTTCCACGATTGCTGTCTTTACATGACATGTACAGCCTATTCTACCACTGCCCTCCCCCCTTTGAATGCTCGTTTTTCCCGACCAACCGCCTTTAATTTTCCACAACTAACAAACGGAGTTCGTAGCCTCTGTATAGGTCGGTCCCAGGAGAACCGGTCAAAAGGGTTTACCAGTAGACATCAGGCACCGTCTTTCATTGACCCTTCTTATCCGCAAGAAATTCTTCGAGCTCATTATATTGCGCCATTGTCTCCACTGGCGCAGTCGAATGGGATGTTATGATGTAAGGCTTAGGATTCGAATATAGGATGCGCTTGAGGAGATCTTATATGTTATTTTCCATGGCTTTAGTGCGCGAATATATATGTTGAGAGGATTTTCTGCAGATCTGAGACAGCAAGTGTCGACGGACCGCGTGCACTGTTATCCCGACCATAACTATGTGTACAACAATTGTAGTTTCTCGGTGTGCGGACGTCCAGACGACAGTTTGGCTGTCACAATTTGCGACGTTCATCAACGTCCCACGAGACCTAGGCGGGATTTTCCTTATAGTGAGGCGGGCTTGCGATGCATCTACCTCTCCCTCACTCACCATGCTCGGACGACAGAACAGAGTTAAGACCAGAGGCAGGCGTGGACCCAGTGGCTGGCAGGGCTGAGCGGCCCGTCTGCTCGTACCACACACACGACCTGGTCTTTGTCACGTACATGCCGGGTCACACAGAAGGACTCCCCCTTATCGTAAATGGAATTTTCACATTCCCGCATGCGCCGTACCATCTGTTGTGCGGGATTCGAAGAATTGTACCGCATGCGTGATTGTGTGGTATGCCGTTGATGGGGTTCGTGTAGGTAGAACGAAGTATTCTGAGGGTCTGGATTATGCTGTTATACTAGAGATCCTTTTGCATGCAAATATGGCTGGAAATACTTATGCAGTGTCAGAATGTCTTGGGTCAGTGTGAACAAGTGAGGCGCTTGTAACTGGTGTATGTCGGAGCTCTGGGCACTCGTTCAATGGTCGCCGCATAGGGGCAGATAGAAATTAGATCTAAATCGCTGATGTGAAAGACGGTGGTGGTGACTGGGGCAGGATGGGAGGATTGCCCTCAATGGTGACGGTGGCGATTTTGCTTTGAGGGACGGGAAACCTGTTGACCTTGTTGACGCTACTGAGTCCATATTAACTCTGACGAGGCTAGCCTGTATCCGGAATGTCTGTCAAAAATGTGAATGCGGTGGTACCGGATGAAGGCTTGCATCCTTTGTCTTGGACACTTGGGCCCAGCGAACCGCTTCGCTTCGGCCGCTGCTACCCGGCTAGCTCCAAAAATTTCCATCGCTGTCTACGCAGTGTACTGTGCCGACTGACCTCGATCTAGGCGATGCCAAGTCTAGCATATTAGTCGTCGTTAACCAGTCATACCCAACCCCGAAGCGTGGAACACTTCGTTGTGCCTTACGGGCTCTCTCCCGAGCCCAACCAGCAGCCGCACAGCGGCGCATGATATAGGGGCCGTAAGGCACAACGGAACGAGTGAACTCCGTAAGATCGATGGGTGAGCGCGCCTCTACCATTGTGTATTCCCGATCCAAACCGACAGGACAACTAGCCCGTGCTCCGGTGGTTAGAGGCGTTGGACTTCTAACTAGCGGGTCGCGAGTTCGAGCCTCAGGTGTTCAACACTTCGGGGTTGGGCATGACTAACTGACGATGGCTAATAAGCCAGAAACGGCCATTCCTATCTCCCTTGCCTTTGTCAGTAATACCATTCTGCCTACATCATGCGCCGCTCTGTGGCTGCTGGTTGGGTTCGAGAGAGAGCCTGTAAGGCACAACGAAACGAGTGACTTCCGTAAGAAGGATTGGTGAGCGCCCCTCTACCAGTGATTTTCGCTGACTTGACTCTTGCCTTTGTGCTTGTACAGATAAGCAAATGTTGCAAGTCTGAACTCTGGCAAGTCATTAAGAGTCCAAATGACCAGACAGCCCTCCAAAACAATCTACACCGACTGCAAGTGTGGTCGGAGAAATGGTTTCTGGATTTCAGTGTGCAGTTGTGCGCCATCCTTCATCTGCGTCCGACCAACTGTCATTAGACTGAGCCTGAAGGCATATCCCCTGAAGGACATTACACCTCCCGTAGGATCTTCACAGAAGGATCTCGGGGTTTGGATACAGAACAACCTGAAACCAACACTGCAGCGCAACAAGGCTGCAAAAAATGCCATGGGAGTGCTCCATGCAGTTAAAAGGGCGTTCGTAACCTTTGACCAAGACCTTTTTGGGAGAGTTTACGGCACTTTTGTTCGACCCCACTTAGAATGTGGCATACAAACATGGCGGCCATGGCTAGTAAAGGACGAAACATTCATCGAACGGGCACAACGTCGTGCAACAAAGTTGGTAAACGGTCTAAAAAGCCAATCCTACACGGACAGACTGAATTGCCTTAATTTATTCCCTCTGTGTTACAGGCAGCAAATAGGTGATCATACCCTCGTCTACAAGATAATAGATGACCTTGATCATGAACTTGGCTTTGAGGACATGTTTCAGTGGCACATTTCATCCAAGCTTCGTGGTCACTCGATGAAGTTACGGACAACAATGTCCAGGCTGAATCTTCGTTCTGAGTTTTTCACGCAGAGGGTAGTGGAGGAATGGAATGATCTCTCTCAGTCAGTCGTGGAGACGACGTTTCTGTAACTCTTCAGGAAACGTTTGGATGATTATTTGTGTCCCCTGTTTTCCCTCGACAGTATGAATCTGAGCTAAACAACCCGCGACCCCGCAATTATTTTTTCAGAGACAATGCTACTCAGATGAATCAAGTATTGTTTATATAGCGAATATTTCTATTGTTCGTGTACAGTTATTTCTTACGAGCTGACATGCAATCACTAGGGTTTTCAAAGGCTTTGCCTATTATCCGTCCCAAATAAACCGAAAAAATTAAACTGAATAAACATTCCCAGTGTTTTTCGCATCGAGTGCTCTTGTCCAGCTTTGCTTGTTGTAAAGTCAATTGGCTAACATATGTTTTCGGTAAATTCTCATAAGGCCTGTACAATTATAAGGGAAATGATCAGTCTAATCGTCGACAGGGTATAAATGCGTCTCGGGGGCAGAGTTAATCGGACTCCATGTTCTCACGCCGCCCGCATGACGGAGTCAGCGTGTTGAGGACGATGTAGTTGGGGTGGGAGGAGGGAAGGAGTTGGAGTGGGAGGGGGGGAAGTAGAGGGGTTCCGGTTGGATTGTAGGCGCTGTGAGTGCATGTGACTGCTCTCAGTGCGTCGGTACGGCGTGCGATCACCGTCTGGAGTCGGCCAGGGCAGACAGACTGCTTGTGTCAGCGTCTTCTGACAACAGAGTGCTGGGTTCGTCAGTCGAATGGCCACTTCTTCGGCTGTGACTAGCACCCGTTTGCGCAGGCCTTTAGAGTAGTGTGCCGGTGCCCGGTAGATAATTTAAAAAGCTTCTTTAGCGTCGGTTTGATGGTTCGTGTCGATTAGATGTGCGAGAATTGAACTCGAAGTCGATCGATGTTCACCTCTACCTAGCCAGGCAGGCATGTGTTCGTGTATTCTCTTTTCCAGACGCCTGGTTGTACGGCCAATATATCCCGCTCCACAGGAGCAGGTGAATGAATAAATGCACGTGGATGTGGCCTTTAACGGCAGCCAGTTTGTTACACATGACCTTCCCTTACGAAAGCTGTATTTTGCATTGGACAAGAGGTTGTTGGCTTCCAAATATGTCATCAACCCCCTTTTAATGGTCTTCTCTATCACTTTGCAGCTGACGGGTCTGTAGTTCGTCGCAAGAGCACGACTACTGTTACTGTAAAGGGGTGTAATGTGCACCGTCTTCCAGTATGTGTGAAGGATCCCGGCATCAAACGATTTCTGGCACAGAATGGATAGTGATTTGGCCAACTGTCGGGCAAGCTCAGAGAACAGTTTTGCGGGGATCGTGTCCGAACCGGGAGATGTACATTCCTTCAGGCATTTTAGTTCTTTCAAAATGTCTTCTCGAAACACAATGCTTTAAATAGTCGGATCTCCAATGTTCTCAGACTTAGATGGAAAAAAGTCTGTTTCTCTTGTGAAAACAGATTCGGGAAACTGAGAAAAGTGCTCAGCTTTGTTTGTGTTGTCCGATATCTCCAGACTGTCATGTCTCCTCATGATAGGAGTGAGATTACTGTTACGGGTGCTCTTGCGCAAATAGCCGTGGAGCGATTTCGGATTTTTAACGGTTCGGTCGAACAAATTACTCCCGAAATCCCGCCGCCTCTTGAAAATCAAGGTCTTCACTTTATTTCTTCGAATTTTATAATCTGTAATCGTTGCATTGTCGTTGTTCTCGCGAAACTTCTTCCAAAGCCTTCCTTTCTTTTTGATCTCCTTTTTAATACCTTTGTTAGTTACCGAGCGCGGTTGGGTGTCCTAGGCTTCGATAAGGGACAGTGGCTCTTCAATAGTTACAGCAACCGATTCTTGAATAAATTCCACTCCTCGCTAACGTTTCCGGAAAGAGAATATCCCAGTCTGTTTGTGATGCCTCAGCTCTCATTTGGCAAAAGTCCTCGTTCCATATATTGTGCCTTGTCTCGGTTCCTGCATATGGTGCAGAATATAGTTCGTAATCCCACAAAAGTATTGCGTGATCACTTCGTCCGACCGAAGGTACGTAGTACACCTCGTATATACTGTCAGTATCTTTAGTGAAGCCAGGGTCCGAACAGCTAGTCTGTTACAATCCAAGCGCTTTAGTTGAGAACAGGACAGTTTGCGTGAGAAGCACTTCAAGGGTTGTCTTTAGGAGACGGTAACCGAAGGCATACTTCAAGCACTTCGCCTGCATGTCGCTCCATTGAATGCAGAGGGCATTAAATTCCCATGAGAACAACGTATGGTCGAGTGGCGATCTCTATTATGCTTTCCAGTAGACAAGTATCTGGGTCG